GGGGGTCGGGGAAACCCCCCTGGGGGGGTTTACGGGGAGATGGAGAGAGAGGGGAGGCAGAGTTAGCGCCCGGCGCCGTGGCTTAGTTGGTTAAAGCGCCTGTCTAGTAAACAGGAGATCCTGGGTTCGAATCCCAGCGGTGCCTCTCCCTCCCTATCGCGATAATATCGCCTACTATTTTTCTGATATTTGTCCATTTTTTATTATTTTTATTTTTTTTTTCAAACCGCCCCTCCCCCCCGCCGCGTGAGCCAAAAAGGAGGGGGCAGCGGGGTGAAGCACCCACCCCAACTTCTCCTCCTCCTCCCCCCACGCTGCAGAGGGTGAGGGTGAACGGTCGCGAGCGAAAATATTGAAAAATGGAAAATAATCGGGAAAAAAAAAAAATCAAAAATTAACTTCCCTGACCGGGAATCGAACCCGGGCCGCGGCGGTGAGAGCGCCGAATCCTAACCACTAGACCACCAGGGAGCGCGGTAGACCTGGTGGCCGCGGCTCCTCTCGAGATAGGGGGGGAATCTAAACGGCGCGCTCCCGTTGGTCGAGGAGGTGGAGGGCGTGGACCAATCAGCGGGCGCGCTTTGGATCCGCCCCGGCGGAGCGGGAGAAGCGGGAGCGCAACCCTGAATTGGGGTCAGATTGGGAGATTTTGGGGTCCGACTGGGCGATTTTGGGGTCAGACTGGGCAATTTGGGGGTCAGACTGGGCGATCTGGGGGTCAGACTGGCCGATTTTGGGGTCAGATTGGGCAATTTTGGGGTCAGATTGGGAGATTTTGGGGTCAGGTTGGGAGATTTTGGGGTCAGGTTGGGCGATTTGGGGGTCAGACTGGGCAATTTTGGGGTCCAAATGGGCAATTTCGGGGTCCAAATGGGCAATTTGGGGGTCAGACTGGTCGATTTTGGGGTCAGATTGGGCAATTTTGGGGTCAGACTGGGCAATTTTGGGATCAGATTGGGAGATTTTGGGGTCAGATTGCACAATCCTGGGGTCAGCTTGAGCGATTTTGGGGTCTGATTGGGCAATTTTGGGGTCCGATTGGGAGATTTTGGGGTCAGACTGGGCGATTTTGGGGTCAGATTGCACAATCTTGGGGCCATCTTGGGCGATTTTGGGGTCTGACTGGCCGAATTTGGAGTCAGATTGGGTGATTTTGGGGTCAGATTGCACAATCCTGGGGTCAGCTTGGGCGATTTTGGGGTCCGATTGGACAATTTTGGGGTCAGACTGGGTGATTTGGGGGTCCGATTGGGAGGTTTTGGGGTCCAACTGGGCGATTTTGGGGTCCGATTGGACAATTTTGGGGTCAGACTGGGTGATTTGGGGGTCCGATTGGGAGGTTTTGGGGTCCAACTGGGCGATTTTGGGGTCCGATTGGACAATTTTGGGGTCAGACTGGGTGATTTGGGGGTCCGATTGGGAGGTTTTGGGGTCCAACTGGGCGATTTTGGGGTCCGATTGGACAATTTTGGGGTCAGACTGGGTGATTTGGGGGTCCGATTGGGAGGTTTTGGGGTCCAACTGGGCGATTTTGGGGTCCGATTGGACAATTTTGGGGTCAGACTGGGTGATTTGGGGGTCCGATTGGGAGGTTTTGGGGTCCAACTGGGCGATTTTGGGGTCCGATTGGACAATTTTGGGGTCAGACTGGGTGATTTGGGGGTCCGATTGGGAGGTTTTGGGGTCCAACTGGGCGATTTTGGGGTCCGATTGGACAATTTTGGGGTCAGACTGGGTGATTTGGGGGTCCGATTGGGAGGTTTTGGGGTCCAACTGGGCGATTTTGGGGTCCGATTGGACAATTTTGGGGTCAGACTGGGTGATTTGGGGGTCCGATTGGGAGGTTTTGGGGTCCAACTGGGCGATTTTGGGGGTCACTCACCCCCCCTCGATTCCTGCCCCCCCCAAACCCAGGAGGGAAGGCGCCCCCCACCCCCAAGAAGGGCCACAAAACTGTAAATATGCTGTTTTTAATCACTTTTTGGGTTAATTCAGCCCATTCCTGCGCCGTGCCCCCCCCCCACCCCCCCACATCGTGCACCCCCAGAGGGAAAACCGGTGACAGAGGGGAAATTGGGGTGAAATCGGGGCGAAATTGGGGCGAAATCGGGGCGCTTCCCCAAAAACCAGCCCTGGAGGAGGCAGCGGCGCCAGGATAAAAGTCCCAAAGCGGTGGAGTTTTGTCCCAAAGAGGAAGGCGGTGGGTGGGGTGGGGGGTCACCCCTGGGTGGTGTCACCCCCGGGTGTCACCCCCTCGTCCGGCGTCACTCGGGGCTCAGCCACGCGCCGCTCTCCTCCACGGCCCGTGGGACCACCAGGAAAACCTCGCACAGCCCCCGGGAGAGGACATCCCGCAGGAAGGTCCTACCGGGGGGGAGGAAAGTGTCACCTCCTGCCCCTCTCTCTCCAAAAACCTCCTTTTCCCCCAAAAAAAACCCTTGTCACCCACCTGAGCTCCTCCTCCCCCCCGATGGCCACCGGGGCTGGGAGTTTGGAGTCCAGGTTGAAGTAGGTGCCGTGGAGCTGGCGGACGGCGAGCCAGTGCTGGCGGTGGAAAGGGAGCTCCAGGAACCCCAGGGAGATGTTGGAGGGGACGTTGAGGATGAAACCCAAGATCTCCCCCAGCGCCAGCCTCTCCAAGGACCTGGGAAAGGGGAAAATGGGGTGAAAAAGGTGTTTTTTGGAGAGGAGGGAACACTCAGCGGTGCCAGCGCAAGGGGAGCTCCAGGAACCCCAGGGAGATGTTAGAGGAGAAATTGAGGATGAACCCCAGGGAGATGTTGGAGAAGTTGAGGATCAACCTCAGGATTTCCCCCAGTGCCAACCGCTCCAAGGACCTGGGAAAGGGAAAAAATGGGAAAAAAGGGTGAAAAAGGGTTTTTTTTTAGGGGGGTAGGACACCCAGTGGTGCCAGCACAAGGGCAGCTCCAGGAACCCCAGGGAGATGTTGGAGGAGAATTTGAGGATGAACCCCAGGGAGATGTTGAGGGGACGTTGAGGATGAACCCCACAATTTCCCCCAGCGCCAACCTCTCCAAGGACCTGGGAAAGGGGAAAAAAGGGGAGAAAAGGGTGAAAAAGGAGGATTTTGGGTCAGGGGTGGGTACGACACCCAATGGTGCCAGCACAAGAGGAGCTCCAGGAACCCCAGGGAGATGTTGGAGGAGAATTTGAGGATGAACCCCAGGGAGATGTTGAGGGGACGTTGAGGATGAATCCCAGGATTTCCCCCAGCCCCAACCTCTCCAAGGACCTGGGAAAGGGGAAAATTGGGTGAAAGACATTTTTTGGGGGGAAAACATCCCCAAAACGGGGTTCGTACCGTCGCTTGTCCCACCAGACGGCCGCCAGCCCCAGCCCCTGCAGCGCGGCCATGATGACGTTGACGTCGTAGTTGCCGGTGCCCAGGAGGCTGCGGTGGGGGTTGAGGCGAGCGTCGGGGGCCAACCTTTTTGGGGGGAAAAAAGACGAAATAAATAAAAGCAAGCAGAATAAGCGAAATAATTAAGATAAGCGTTAATTAAGGTGCCTTTTGCAGATGTCATTGGCTGCCTGGCGGGTGAAGCAGGGCCGCTGGAGGAGGTTGTTGAGAGCGTGGAGGGCGCAGAGCTCCAGCCGCTGCCGCTCGTGGTACAGCCCCGAGGGGGGGGGACACCCCGACGTGGCCCCCGTTTCGGGGGGAACCCGGCTGCCTGGGGGGGGGGG